TGAATGGTAGAGGTCAACGAGTTCTTCCTACATGTCATGGTTGTCCAATGTGAGTTGTCATTTGTATACAATACTAATGTTTCGTTTGTTTAGCGAAAAATAAATAATTTAGAAAATATTTATTAAAATTTATCGCTTGTATCATTTACAAAGATGAATGGATAAAAAATATTTTTATCATTCATGAAAATGTTTAAATATAAATTGTTGTCAATAATAAAAATATTTTTCATTGACTAATTATTTCGAGCGAAGTGTATCCACCGCTTGTGAACTGTCTTGAATAGTTAATAAGTATGACCATGACTCTATCAATATCATCCACCTTGTAGAATTCGATCGATAATGACTTTTGAGTGGCAACTGCACGTAAAGAGCGATTATCGAAAGATTGTTTTATCTGTTTTTTCGTCTACTATTTGTCAAGTATACCCATTTTAGGGTAATTTAACAAGCATTATTTTCGTCTCACGAAAAAACCTAAATTCATACCCTTGATCCAAATCTATCCTGTCAGCACTCCGTCTAAGATCCCTTCAAAACACATATGCGTTAACACACATGGTAGACTAATGCAAAACAGATTTGACGTGCAGAATGACGGATTCGGTGTGAAAAATCTGTATGTGCTGACACGCATGCAGTTTAACGGAGAGTAGTATTTGGGTCGGGGTTATGAAGTTTTTGTGAGACGATAATTAGTTCGATGTAAAAGTGTCGTAAGGTACCGGTTTATGATTTTTTGTGAGACGAAAATCAATTCCGAGGCAAATGAGTTATGGACTATCGGTTTCAGATTCTTTACGGGACGAAAAGTAGTTTGGGGGTAATTTATCGTAAGAGTACCGAGTCGAGATTCATAATGATATTAACCCCTATTATAATTGATTCCGTCCGTTACATCAGGTAGCCAATGTGCGCATCACCATTAACTATAATGGAGATTTTAAAGAATAGAATCATATGTAATCCCTTATATTATATATTTCAATAGGGGAATGGCATTTTTTTTTATAAATTCTTTTTGCTCTTTTTTAATGTGGGGGGAACAAACAAAAGGAATCACGTGGAATTGGGAATGGCATCCAGATTTAAAGTAAGAGGGCACTTGAAAGAGAATGCAATGAACGTGGTCCGTGATGGGTCTCCGACCCAATGCGCACACGACGCCGCAGGAGCAGCAGTTAACCTCCCGACAAAAGAAACAGTGCGTCCTCGTACGAGAAATCCGATCGTTGCGCCCCTTTTTGCGCGCTCATGCCGGGGGCGCGACGATCGAACCTGGGCCAGTGACATTTTTATAATAGCACCAAATCTAGGATTAGTAGTAGGAAGATCTCTCGCTCCATTGAAAAGCAAGGTCAGAGATACTGAAATTACAACCGTACTTTTCTTATTATTACCGAAACCACCGTACCGTGTACAACCCTCCATCCTCAACATAACCTTATTTATACTTTCATGCCTAAGCCTTGGATCGACAAACGAGCCAGTGACATTTCCTCGTCGGCCCAAACCAACGGACTAGGTTAGGTTGCCATCTAGGTCTCGTCTCGATGAGGGGTTAACGAGCGAAGGCGCTTCTTTGGATCGAATTTGATTCAATGTACAATATTTCATTAAAAGATCTTGTATGATTTTCTTGCCCTAGACACATTTTTGTTCTCACAATATTATTTCAATCGACTTATTAAATGACGCGATTTTGGAATTGATAGACCCATTTAAATATTCGAGAGGAATTTCTTACATTACTTAGACTCTGTTTGTTTTGCTAAAAATATTGCCCTTCTAGAAAATCATTTTTCAGGAAAATGATAATATTTTCTGGTGTTTGGATGAAATCTGAGAAAGAACTAGAAAATATTTTTCATCGTTTGGAATGGAACATATAATTTTATTTTCTTAAACTCATAGACTAGTCGGATACCTGGGTCCCCCTATTCCCCGGTGCTCGAGCTTGGGTCCCCGACACTTGAGCCTTGTTCGATTGAGGCTGGGATCGAGACCCTAATACTTGTGTCTCGGTCCCCGACAATCAGGTCCACAGTGGCCGGGGACCTCGGCGCCTAGGCCTAGGTCCATTGAGGCCGGCCTCGAGACCTCGGTGGCCGTGCTTGGGTCCCCGGACCCGGGCTCAAGACCCTAATACTTGTGCCTGAATCCCCTACGCCCGATCCCAAGTCCATCGAAGTTGAGGCTCGAGACCTCAGCACTCGTGCTCGGGTCTAATTGAGGCCAGGCTCATGATCCTACTGCCCATGCCTGTGCCCAGGTCTTCGTGCCCATGATGGGGTCCATTGAGGTCAAGGCTGAGACCTCAGTGCTTGTGCCCAGGTCTCCATGCCCATGACAGGGTCCAATGAGGTTAAGCCAGAGACCCCGCTGCTTGTGCCCAAGTCTCGCGCTAGTGCCCGGGTCCATCGAGGCCGAGCCCGGGTTCATCGAGATCGAGCCCGGGAACTCAGTGCCAGACTTGGTCGGAGGGACCCGGGCCCGACCATGATGGACATGGGCCTGGCGCTAGGGACCTAAGCATTGGTACTAGGGTCCCGGGCCCGACGTTGATGAACATAGACGCATGTGTGGAGGACCCAAGAACTGCCATCGGGGTCTCGGGCCCGGCGTAGATGGACCCAAGCGCTAGAGACTTAGGCTCGGCATAGATGGACCTAAGCGCTAGGGACTCGGGCCCAACCTCGTTGGACTCATGCACTGGCATAAGGGACCCAAGCCTGGGTGCAAGCGCAAGGGCATCGAGCGTGGGCGCAGGGACTTGGGCATGGGTCTTGGGCTCGGCCTCAATCGACTCGGATGCGAGCATTGGAGACCCAAGCACTTTTTTTATAGGACCGGGGATGGGCACTGGTGTTCGGTGCTCGGCCTCAATGGATCCCAACTCGAGCGCCGGGGACCCAAGTACGGCCTTGATAGACCGGGGTGTAAGCATCGAGGACTCGAGCGTTGGTGTCCTGAGCCCAACCTCGATACACCCAAGGGGACCAGAGGCGGCGCTAAAGTCTTGGGCCCAACCTTGATGGACTCAGGCATAGGCAATACTGGGCTCAACTTTAATGGACCCAGGCATGGGCACTGGGATCTTGGGCTTGACCTCGATCTACCCAAGGGGACTCGGGGGCTAGCATCGAGTTCCCGAGCCCATGCCTCGATTGGACATAGGGGGATCCAAGGTTAGCCTCAATAGACATGGGCCGGGGCGCCCCAAACCAGTGCACGGACATCAGGGTTGATGGAAAATGATTTTCGATTTTTTAAAGAGGAAATCATTTTCCTAAATTTAAACATATATTTTTCGTTGACTCGTATTCCTGAGTGATCCAATCGCCGGAAAATGTTTTTCGTGGTTATTTTCGCGGAAAATGAATGATTTGATAAACATTTTCCTAAAAATGATTACTTGCATCACTTGAAATAATTCTTAGTCAATGAAAAATATTTTCATAAACAGTGAAAATATTTTTTGTTCATTTATTTTTATATGTGATATAATTAATCATTTTTAGGAAAATGTTTTCTGTGAAACATCGTTTGCTTTGCAAAAAACAAATGATTTGGAAAATATTTTCTTGAAAATGATTGCTTATATTGCTCAAAAAAATGAATGAATGAAAACATTTTCCTTTTCGAGCGATATAAGCAACAATTTTAGGAAAACATTTTCCAAATCGTTCATTTTTCATGTAAAAATGAAGCTTTTAATAAACAATTTGGTAAATAAGTTTTAGTGTATAATGTATTAATACAAAAAGAATCTTTTACTTCAAGGGACCACAGTCCTCTTCATTCTTTTCCAAAATATTCTCAATTTATTATTTTATAAACCTTTTATCAATGGACTAATGCGTAGATTAATAATTCTATTTTTGTTTCTCATTCATCTCAATTTTAAAATTCGAATCTATTTTATCTTGTAAACAACTTTTTAAAAAAAAGCCCAAATCTTAAGATGTTTCTCTTTCTATATCTATGTACACAATTTTCTCGTATTGTGTAAGCAATTTCTTATATCAATTGATAGTTCAAATATTTTGAAATAAGACGATTTTGCAAAATGTTTTAAATGTCAAAATTTTTTGCATACATGCAAACCGTGTGTACTTTGGCTAGATTTTTCTTTAAATAAAGCATAAGAATTCTTAAACCATAAGGGAAGCTATTACTCACGTAAACTTTCAGTCACAAAACAATAGAAAAAACCAATCTATTTGACTAGTGTGAACCACCTCAAAAGTGGGAAAAGAACAAAGGAATAGAATCGTGAAACTCTGTTCAAGGCGTGGTCCTAAAAGAATGCGCAAGTTCAGTGATTACTAGGGACGAGAAAGACAAACCCGCATACCGCTTCTCACTTGGGCAATCCGGTGATGATCAAAATGTTTTTATGTTCTTATCCACTCACAATTCTGCAGCCTGCACGAACCTTCAGAAACCCAGAATGATGAACAACCCGTGACATAAGAAGAGAATACCCACATCTAACCATGAAGCTCTTATAAATCACATATGACCCAGTCTCTGAAACGAGTTGAACTGCATTATTCATGGAAAAATTGTATTATCGGGTATAAATGTATAACTTTTCTAAATGTGGCTATGGTAGGATGATCATACATGTCTTACCCACGGTATAATGAGAATGTCTGCAGCACTAATCTATGTGGCCCCATTGGCATCCTATACTCGCTCTTGAGGTATTGGCATAGGGTATAAGAAAATCCCAGCAGCAAAATTACACAGAATAAGGAAGCAACTTCACATCCCGGTTTGCAGAATGCAGCAATTGCACACGGGACCCACGTCATGCTGACGAAGAAAGCCCAACTCATAGACATCAATACAAGAGAGACAACATGAAATGCATAATACTCGGAATGAAATCGTGCTATATAGGATGAGCTCATATGACTATTTTAACACCATGCTGCAGCCACGGGTAGATTATACCAAACGATCTCCCATGAATGAAAGAATGCCGAGAGAAAGAAGGGGCGAATGACATGCTAATCGCATTCAAGACGATCTAGTATGATATACATTGGCCACTATGTAAAAGAAAGGAGGTAAAAAAAAAAAATTCAAGAAGTAGAATTTGCACTAGATAACTTATTCAGCAGAAGTTGCCTCGTACTGCCAGGGGTTGAACTCGGTTGATCCAATGTCAAGCTCTTCGATGGCGTCTAGACTATCTACAACAGCCCGATGTTCAGTATACTTTCCATTGTAGCGGTACACTTCCAAATCGCCCCAAGGTGTGGGACTAATTTCGTCAGTCAGATCAAACCACCTTGGAGTGAATTTATGACCTTTCATTTCTCGGTTCTTTTTCTCTTCTCTTTGCCTTTCCTCCAAACTGAAAAAAGAACAAATTGCCTATAAATAACCCTTCTCTGTTTCTGCCTTTTTCCAGAATGTTGCAACCAAACGAAAAAGGAAAAGGAAAAGGAAAAGGAAAAGGAAAAGGAAAAGGAAAAGTATCCATTCCAACAATGCAGAGTACACCATATTCTCAAAGCAAATTAGTCTTCATTTTTTTCGCATGTACCAACTAATGCCAAATTAAAACATCACATCTAAAGTCAAGAAGAAGAAGAAGAAGAAGAAGAAGAAGAAGAGAAACCTGCTCTTTTCAGCACCAGCTTTAGGGAGGTCACCCTGCTCAAGTGCATATCTATCGGGACGTAAACGAGAGTCAGAAGCCAGAACTTTTTTGGGAGCAGTATTGAAACTGTTTATCTTGTGTCCGAAGTATGTGTACTGATACTTGTCATTTTTCGGAGCCTCAGCAACTCTCCAGGCCTACAGGAGAGAAAATATCAAGATTAAATTGAGGAATTTGGCATGGGTTTCTAACATGACAAAAAGTATGACAGTAATCGCTGAGAAACTGTACAATTCGACATTGAAAGTTACAATGCATCATGAATCTGAATGAGTGGAATATGTTTATCCCTTTAACCTTTCAAACTTTGTAATTTGCCTCAGCAGGGTGGTGTTTAGGTGCAGGGAACAGCGGGACAGGTTCCCAATGTGCATGGGTAAGATTTAAGCCTGGTAGACGAGGAAGCAAGTATGATAGTTTGACAATGACTCCAAATACAAGGGTCATCTGATTCTGCTCCTTACGAAAATACGCCAATGGTTGTTCATATCAAGATATGATGAATGCCTCACAGCATTTGATAGTAGTTCCTACTGCAAATCCCAGACGCTCTCTCTCTCTCTCTCTCTCTCTCTCTCTCTCTCCAAATACAAGGGCCATCTCATTCTGTTCCTTATGCAAATATGCTTATGGTCATTCATATCAAGATATGATGACTGCTTAACAGCATTTGATAGTAGTTCCTACTGCAGATCCTAGACCATCTCTGTCCTCTGTCCTCTGTCCCTCCCTATCCCTCTCCCTGCCCATCCCCCCGCCCAACAACCCCCCCTCCCCCAAACCAAAATAAAAAAAGCATATTTGCACTACTAACTTTTATAATACCTTATATATAAGAACAAACCAAGAGGTCATATTTGTGTGGGACTGCAAGCTTCTCATCTCATTCAAGTAAAAAGTGATCCACCAAAACAAAAAGCCATTCCTATGGTTAAGACTGGGAAGTTTACTTCTTCCATAGCAGGAGAAAAATCATAAAGTAGAAAAATACAACAAGATTCCCGAAAACACATTACAGTAAAGCAAAAAAAATAAAAAGAGTAGGCATATGCCAGTAGCATATACTATCAAAGAGAAGAGGTCATACTAGTAGTAATATGCGCGCGTATCTATTGATTCATGAAAGCCAAGATTCAATGATAGATGCAGTATGATTAATGTAAGCTAATAGGTGTTCCAAAGTCCATTTTTCTATTAAAATACTGCATCCTGAACCCGAAAAGAAGGGCTAGAAAAGTCAAACTATATGGATGACTAAGATGTACAGATGCTCCAAAAGGTAGTAGTTTTGTTTCTTTTTACTCCTGTAAATTCCAAAATCAACCGGGATTTAATATATACTAAAAGAGTACATTTAATGTCCAAACATAAGCAAAGGTCTACCCACATCACCAATAAGCACATGATACACATACAAAATCACCATTAAAGCATACACAACTAAACATTTATGTTGATCAAACAAGTACTCTGGGGGTGTGTGTGTTTGGAGAGTGTATAGAGCATGTAAGTAATGCTCAAAAGTACATGATGATCTATCTGTCACGGCCAATGTGAGAGACATAAAAGCCAATAAATGCCATCTTTACCAAGAAAGGTTGAACACGGATAAGAAAGAACTGACCTCCTTTAGTTCAGAGCCTGGCAGTGGTTCCCCTTCTTTGTCGCAGGGTTGGTAGCTCATGTACTCATTCCACTTCCCTGTCATCAATATCTTGGGCTCCTCAGCAGCATCATACACATAGCCATCGACTTCATAGCGACCAGCCCTGCAACAAGAAGAGATTGAACTGCAAATGTTAATACTGAATACAGATTATTTATCACCATATTCAACACAGAAGGAATGACTGAAAGAACTTTCTCGACAATGTGGAGTAAATAATGCCACCCGGATTTAGTAGTTCAAACTGATTGCTTCGCAAGTCTATACAGTGGTAAAAATGAAGGAAAATCAACATACATGATCAAATGACAAAAGCAATATGCAGAGCAGAAGTTCCCACATCCTTGATGATCAATCTATCAAGGCCCTAAGATATCAAAGCTTCACTACTAGAAATGTTTGCTTTAGAAAGTATGTAATGCAAGTGATCAAAGTAGACATCTATCTAAAGCAGATGCAAGGGAAAGACTCTTAGAAGAAGATAACATTACCCAAACCAGCCGCATGGTTGAAAATATAGCACAACTTTTTCCCCAGTTGTCAAGTTTGTCATGACCATTTCCCCTGAAGAATCGATCCAAGTACGTCCAAATATTAGATTGTTGACTTTTGTGGGCGGAGGGACCAATTCAAAAACAGCTCCATCTTTCTTGAGGGTCACACGAGACCTGTATATTTGCATAGACAACGCATATTGAGCACAGACCTCCAGGAAGTTGACATACACAATAGCACAAAGAGATGGAGAAGCATCAAGGATCAGATGGAGACTGATCAAACCGACATATATATTCACCTTCCAAGTGGATAAATGTCAATTGAGTTCCCCAAAAACTTGGTTTTCACTTTTGAAGTTATATCATATATAAAATGTTCATTTTCGGCATGTGCAGCACTCATTGGAGGGTGATGACTGACCTGAGAAGTAGAAATTTGAAGAAGAGACAGAAAGGTTTCATTATTTTCCTGCTCAAAAGGTATCATCCAAAAAGAATAGGAAAAAAAAACTGAGCTTTCAACAACTCACCTGCTCTGCTATAAAAGTGATGCCATCATGATTTGTCATTTCATAAGTCTCACCAAGAATAGGATTAAATGGCTTCCAGGGCCTTTGAAGCGCATAATAGATGGATATGAACCATGACACTGCAGTCATAAAGACCATGAGTCCAATGCCATATACCCAAACATACAAAGGCTTATATAAATATAAACATTCATATATTTATGTACATATATCTATGCATCTATGGGTACATACACCAACAGACAGCCGCATGTTCCCCGTAAATACAAAACAAGAGATTCCTTACCCACATATACCATTCGCATGTAGGGATCCTCACATTCATCAGCCCGATCTAAAAGGTGAGAGTACTCCGTGATCTGCGACCGATGTTTACGATATCATAAAGTGTTCCTCTAACATGACAACATCCAGACTAATCGTTTCATTGACTCAATGAAGATATTGGTGCAGACAAACCTCGGCCATTCTCTGCAACATGGTCATGGGCTCAAATATGAGAACAGGAAGTGTCACCATCGATGTGACATCTGAACCAATATACTTCTGCATCATCTTCCAGTAACTATCTCGATCCTAGAATGACAAGAAAGGATGCAGGAAATGAGAGTGCATCTATCATGTTCTTATTGGTCATAAGACCAATTATCATCTTAAAAGAACAGGGATGACCATTGTGCAGTTGCGAAGTGTTCTCTTCCTTATTAAAGAGCAAGGTTCGACACACAGGCATCAAAATACCAACGAACATGCTCATATTGGGCCTCTTAATCCGTTCAATAAGAACAACGATTTTCTAAAGTTCCCAATGAAGTGATAATATGAGAACCCCAATACCATGTCACAGTGAGTAGATGTATGATGTGACAAATAAGCAAGACCCCTGTTGAAAAACTCAGGTGGAGAAGAGAAACAATTCCACACTCTTTTGTGTGGTCTTAATTTCAATTTTTTCAGTGCTCGTGATAAGCCATAATTTATTATTGACATCACAAATGCCCTGGTCCATTTAGCTAGCGGAACAGTCATAGTTAGATTTTTTAGCTCATGAACTTCAGAATATCATGTTGCTTGTGCGACTGTGCATTTCCTTCTCTAAAAATCATGGCAATGTTATCACGAAAAATCAAGTCTCACATGCATCACGGGCGGATGCTTCATGTAGTGAAATAAACAAGGCTAACATGGCTTTTGGTGTTGGACCATGACATATGCAGATGAGACATGAAAACAGTAGGTTGCAAAATACTAGGTAAATAATATCTAATTATGCATAATCACTTAACAATTTTATATGGACCAATAGAGCTTACCACGGGTCATTTTCAATGATAAAAGTAGCGACTACGATAGGCTAGCCAGGAAACCAAGTACCCAAATGTGAAGAATAATCTATTGGCTATGACAAAAAAGAAAAATGGCCAAATGTAGATGAGGCAGCATTGAAATGTCCCCGATTCCAACTTCCCAATGCCAATGATCCCTTGTAGATAGTATCATAGATATTGTACACAGAACAAGAAGCCTGATGATATGTTGACAAGAAATTTGCTGCCAACCCAGATGTAAAAGAATGTTCCATTCTATCTATTCCTCAGTAATAATGACATCCAATTAATTCAATTTCTGATTACAGCCGAAAAAGTACACAGTTAAAATTCATGAAAGAAAAAAAAGCGCACTTCCTGTTTCCACCTCCCTTTTGCCGCTTCCTCTTCTGCATCTTGTGTGCCTCCTTCTGGATTAATGACCTGCAGTCCCTCGTAACCCAGAATCCTAGAAAAGGAAACACCAATTAATGTTGCAAGCCCAATATGTATCCCGCAGATTAGTCTGGCATTATTGAGCATTATTAGCGCATCCTAGAAAAGGGAAAAACATACAGTTCAGATTTCGTGTTTTGACCAACTTTCCTCTAGCCTGATTTGCTCTGGGAACCGCTCTCAAAACCCAGCTAATCGGTTCAAAAAGTCGGAGGAGAGAGAGAGAGAGAGAGAGAGAGAGAGAGAGAGAGAGAGAGAGAGAGAGAGAGAGAAGGGGGGGTGTAATGGCAGAAGCAATAAGACTTCGAATCGGATGGTCATGGTATTGGTTTCACATAAGACAAAGAAGCCAACTTCAGTTCAACAATCTATCATGAGAAAAACCAAATACCATCAACTAAAACAAGTGAAATCATCACTTTTGTCACTGCAATGTTCTTTAACAGCTTAAACTTTTTTTGATCTAACAGGTTGCACGCTCAGTTCGAAAGAGAGAAACATATCGAATTTCAACGAGGTGGGAATCTTATTCGAAACCACAGAACAACAGATACCCACATGAAGTAGCAATCTAGCACCCACGAAGATCAAACAGATAAAAAGCGAGAAAAATTAGGTTCCCCAGACATAGTCGCACATCTCAATCGAGCTTTTTTCTAAAGCCTCTAAAGCAAGCAAATGACGCTATACACAAGCGCCAACACATCCCAAAGACAAACGCGAATCTCAAGCTTAGATCGGCTCCGAAAATCTGCGAGTAAAATTTCCCCGGAAGATGAACAAGCAGGAGGAAGAAATCAAAGCGGGGAAGTGGGCAGTCACCCGTTAACCGATTTGGTCATGGCGCTACCGAAGTTGGAGAAACTCGAGGCTATGGAAGCGAAGAAGCCGCCGCCGCCGCCGCCGCCGCCCTCGCCCTGCTTGGGATCGTCCGCCGCCATTCTCCGTCAGCCCGGGTCCTCGGAGATCCGGCTCAGCGGCGAAACCCTCGCGAAGCTTTCGCAGAGACGAAGCGCCGAGCGATGAGAGACGGACTAAAGAAGAGGACGAAGGAGGAGATGGAGGAGGAGAAAAGATAGAAAGAGAAGGGCGAACGATCCAATTTGGCGGCTCGGTTCGTTTGAAGTCCCGGCTCGAGAGGGTCGAAGATTTTTGCGCGTTTGACTCGAGTCCCCCACGCGGTTCCAGCCGGAGAAAAACCTCTTGGGGCTTTCTTTTGGCCCTCCTTCGTCGATGGATCCCTCCGCCGTCAGACGAATGAATGCAAACATTGGCCGGCGCCATAGACACGCCATCGCCGGAGGCATACGACGGGCTCGATTCCTTACCGCTCCTTTTACTCGTTTACCGTGTTCTGGTTGTATGGATTTCTAATCAGGATTGGATTTGATATGATAAGATAGAAAAATATAGGATTTTACTACTGTTTTCGGTGAATCGCGATAGTAAAGCCGGATATTTTACGTATCCTATTATATCAATTGTTTAGCATGAACGGCATATTGATATAAATAAACCCGAAATTGCATTAACGGATATGGTAAGAATTTCTTACTGTTCGCTCCTAAAGAAATCATAAATGCATAGACGGAGATAGCCTCTACCAATTAATTCATAATTATTGTACGATCTACGTCAGAAACGGGTTTGACAATGACAAGAATTGTAAACGGGCTACAACAACATAGACGGGGTAGATTAGCTAGTAAACGTAAAATCTAGTAAGAGAAAGAAAACATGATTATTGACTTTCGTGATTCTGAAAAGTATATTTTTTCTTACTCTCTCGACACCTTCGTGAAATTTCAACATGAATCACAGAGCTACGAAAAAGAGGAGTTTCGACTCTTTTGCTGCTTTTGTGGATTTTTGACGTGAACTAGAGAGTTGCAGAGGAATAGGAGCTTTGACTCTTTTGTCATTTTCGTGGAGCCTAATCGTGAACAAAAAATTACAGAGGAGTCGTGAAGCTTCAACGTGAACTAAAGATACGGAGAAGAAGGAAGATTCATTTCAAGTTTGAATTTGTTCATTTTAAATTAGGGTTTTTCTACTTAATTTTTATTTACTTATTTCTTTAATTATCTTTCCTCTCTTTTTTTTTAATTTCTTTCTTATTCCCTTCCATCATTCCTTAATAAAATTTTTATTAAATAATAAACTATATTACTATACCTAAAATATGTAATAAATATAAATACTATATAAATATAAATATAAAAATATATACAAATATATCTTATAAAATGGAAAAAAATTCAAACATATAAATTAAAATAGAAATAAATAAAAAACGAAAGTTGTCCATTATTTTTTGTTATTTTGAATTTTCTTTTCTTATATTATAATCCAAATATTATTTTAATTTATTCATGAAAAATAACTTTTATGCTATGGATATAAAAAATCCTATCCACCTTTATCTCATTTCCCACAAATGATATTTTTATGTGGGCTCTATTTCCCTTATATCCAACTTTATGCTATCTTGGACAGGAACCAAATACGGGATAAAATATCTTGACTTTTATCCTGACTATTAAACGTAGCCTAAGAGGTTTATCTAAAAGATTTGCGCTTCCTTGATCACTTTCATTATTTCGAAAAATTTGACTCAACTAAACTTTGTATTTCTTTCGGGGAATCTCTATGAAGATTCACACGAGCTTAGTGCCGTGTAATTCGGACCAAATTCCATAATAGAAGGACATTGATTATGCAATTATGTGATCAAAATTGGTACAAACTTTTTTTTTGTTGAAAGAAAATTGTATTTATTACTCAAAATGAAACATGATAAGTACATAGACTTTAATGACGAAGAAAATAAATGCAGAGTAAAGCCTAGAATACCACAAAACAAAGTCAAATTCATAAAACAATGAGGATGAATAGAGCATCGGCAGGGTTAAGTATACACTCGTTTCATAAGAACGAATCTTTCAAGCAAAATAATCGACAGCCGATTATTAGATCTCGTATCATCATCAGTGATGAGCACACGCCGGAAATTTCTTCTTCAGTAACTACAGCGTTGCTAGTTGGCGGTGGGGGTGAGCGGTTCCAGGTTTCTTATAAGTTCTGCCTAGAACCTGGAACCTATCCTCATGTACATGTTCTTCATTTTTTAGAATCTGGAGCCTATCCATTGAAACGTGGAGCCTGGAATCTACCCTGTTACAGGTTCCAAGGTCGGTTCTAGGTCTAACATGTTCTTTTTTTTGTTTTATTTTTAGTTAAACAAAACGAAAGATTAGTTATTGGAAAAATCACGGAGATCGTGAAGGTGTAAAGAATAAAGAGTGGCCTGTTACACAATGAATTTGTTTATCATCTGCGACTAAAGATGAAAACTCTCATCAAAATCAAGGTGGATCTCACAAAGTCAAACTATCTTCTTGAGCAAGATTGATAAAGCATAAATTAGGCGAGATTAATTACCACAGCCATATCTATGACAATAATAACAGTTCATAAATATTATATATTACAGCTATCCTCATGGTTCCAAGTTTGCTTGCATTGACCCCAAATGGTTCTAATGATCTCCTTTCCCCATAATCACATCGCAAACCCACCCATAAGAAAATTCTCAACAAAAGAAGCAGACACAACACAGGGCAAAATCACATAACCCATATTCCCCTTCAAGCTCCTCCAGAGTAGAAAATTTTGTTTCTGGTCATCAAAGCAAGTTGCTCCTCCAAGCTCCTCCACCACCTTCAATAATAAAAGGAAACAATAAAGATTTGGTGTTTTAATATTTAGATGCTTTAACACATCTCTGCATTAACACATCCCACAAGCATAAGCTAAGATTTGGCGTAAGACTAGCAAAACCCAAGTCTTCATGAATAACAAGCTTATGATTTCTAGCAAAAAACTTATGATTTGGCGTAAGACTAGCAAAATCCAATTGGTCAATATTTGTTTCAGTATTGATTGAGATTTCTTCTAATTAATAACAAACTTATGATTTCTAGCAAAAAAACAAACAAACAAACAAACTTTTGGTAATAAAAGTGGCATTTGTACAGGAATTTGAGCTCCAGCATGTTGAAAGGGGGTGTATCCGAATCCTTCTCCAATCTCACTGCTTTGGTCACCTTGTAGGTTTAAGGGTTAATACTACGAAAAATTTCAAACTGATACATTTGTGACAATTTTACCAAAAACTAAATTTTTGATCAGGAAAAACCCCAAACTGGTACACATGTGATAAATTTACCCCAAACTAATTTTTTGATCATAAAAAATCCCGAACTGGTACATTTGTGATAAATTTACCTTCCGTTAGTTTTCATTAAATTGAATTAATACCACGAAAAATCATAAACTGGTACGCCTATGACAAACGGAGGGTAAAACATAAAATCGGTACATTCATCAATTGCCACGTGTCATTTAATAAAGCAATTTGACAGTAAAATTAATCAAAATAAATTGAGGGTAAATTTGTTACAGGTGTATCGGTTTGAAGTTTTTGGTGGTTAAAAAATTAGTTTGGGGTAAAATTGTTATAGACATACTAGTTTGGGGTTTTTCGCGGTATTAACCCTAAATTTAAATATCTCCTTCCCAATATATCTCCCAATATATGCAAATTAGGATTTTGATCTTTCATCAGCTATAGTATTCAACCTACACACTTTTGAGAATACAAAAAAGTGTATATATGCACGCACATAAGAAAAAGAAGACCTTTTGATATGTAAAAGCTACCTCTATGCGAATTGAAAATTCAACTAACTGGGTATATATGCACGTACATGCATATGAAGTTTCTCAGTACTTTTTTGGCTTAATTTTAGGGATTTATCCAACAATTCATTAACTGGGTATGTGCCCGACTTTTTAGCACAAATGCCAAGCTTGAAAGTTCTGTGAGTTACCGAGCTTTTAACAAAAAGATTATGTGTGGTTATCTAGCTTGAGTAGATATGACTGTCAACTTCTAGTCATGAATACTTGTAGGAATTTAAGTGAAAATAACTTGAATGGCTCTGTTCCTCAAACTCTCTTGAAGAAAAAGGCAGATGGATCGTTACTACTAAGGTTCGCTCATTGTCACACTATTGTAACGTTACATATAATCGCTTATTATTATCTATACAATCTGCTTCCTTTTTCTATGTACACACACTAGTAGTTCAACAGCTTCCTCAAGTTGAATTCAACCTGTTCCTACAACCATGAACCCAAAACCCAAGTCTCTACCATCTATACAAAAAAAATGCAACATCCAACTACCCATTACACAACACTTTACAAAGGCTCCAAACAAGCAGCAAATCGGGGACAGAATCATCCAAATATCAAAAGAATGCATTGTAGCAACATCACAAATTAGCATCTAGAAATAAACAGAATTTAACAAAATAAACAGAATTTAACGAGAACAACAACTCTCCAGAAAATAAGTATTAGAAAGTCTCACCACATGTATTCATTGATTCATTCCGCTTCAACTTGTCAACTCTATTTATCATTGATAATTTTCTCATCAAGACAATCCATATCTAAAAAAAAAAGAAATTAAATAAAATATTCACTTATTAGATATATAAAAGAAATTACAATATATAAAGATATAAACATCACTTACCAAGTTCAAATATTTCTGCATTTTCGATGCACTCTTCAACATTAATCAGCACGCGAACGGTTCTCAACTAATATTGAGTGCAAATCAAAGCTTCAACTACTTTGAGAGTCAAAGAACTTCGAAAGACATCAAGCACCCGACTCGATCTACTAAAAGTCGACTTTGAAGCAACAGTAGTTACGTGAATAGACAAAACATCCTGAGCCATCAAAGATAGGATCTTATATTTTGAGCTACTAGTCTTCCACCACATCAAAAGATCAAGATCAAGAATATTTTCATTTTTATCTTCAAGATACTAATCAAGCTCATATTTGTTGTCATCGCACATTTGTTGGTTCGAGTGCATAAAGGTTCTCTGCCAAGCTTAGATGTCATACTTCTTGATCTTGTTACCTTCGCTACCACCGGCATCGGCATTGGAACCGCTACTATTAGCACTCAAACTTTGGACACCAAAATTTCGATCACTTGAAGCAAGAAAAGATTGCTCATAAAATTCATACAAACGCTCCAATGCGTCCTTCACCTTGTAATACATCTCAATTTTCGATTCATCATCATAAATTTGTCCACACAAGAAATTCACATAATTTAACTTAGCTACATGATCCAACACAACCGTAATAAACACGATCATATTCACTTTATCCAAACTCCCATAATATTTGTCAAATTTCTCTTTCATATTCGTACCCATAGCTTGAAGCTTAGGATTCGAAGCATTCGCCACATCTTTCAAATGTTTATAGAAAAGAGTTATCCCTTCAATATAATCATTGCAAGTAACATATGAACACCTCGACATCCGATTGGTGGCATCATAGAATAGTTTTAGAAATTCCGAAAGAATAATGACATTTTCCTAATCATCATCTTTAGGAAGATCATGGTTAAGCTCACTGGCAAAAGATGGATCGTCTTCTTCCACCCTTTTAAAAGCTTTTTTGAACTTTATGGCGATATCTAACATGAAGTAAGTGGACTTCCATCTAGTGACAACATCAAAAATAATTGAACCCTTATAAGTGATCCTTTCACTCTTAATGTAAGATTGAAATGTTTTGGCTCTTATGGGAGAACTCTTCACATACCTAATCACATATTGGATACATACAATAGAAATTTACATACAAAAATTCACATACTCCTAACATACAAGAAATTCACATAATTCAACTTAGCTCTAGGATCCAACACAACCGCAATCAATACCATCATATTCACTTTATCCAAACTCCCATAATATTTGTCAAATTCCTCTTTCATTTTCGTATCCATAGATTGAAGCTTTGGATCCGAAACATCCGCCTCAGCTTTCAAATATTTATACAAAAGAGCTATCCCTTCAAAATAATTATTGGAAGTAACATATGAACTCTCCGACATCCGATTGGTGACATCATAGAATAGTTGTAGAACTTCCGAAAGAATAATAACACTTTCCCAATCATCATCTTTAGGAAGATCATCGTTAAACTCACTGCAAAAGATGGATCATCTTCTTCCACCTTTTTAAAAGCTTTTTTGAACTTTATGGTGGTGTCTAACATGAGGTAAGTGGAGTTCCATCTAGTGGCGATATCAAGAATAACTGAACCCTTGTAAGTGATCATTTCTCTCTCAGTGTAAGATTGAAATGTTTTGATTCTTATGGGAGAACTCCTCACATACTTAACCACATTTCGGAAACGTACAATAGATTCACCTACCGTAGTTCAGCCATTTTTCACAACTAATTCCAACATCATTTAAACTAGCATTATCCATGGTGATTGTGGACACCTTTTTTCTATTCGCCACTCAATTGTGAGTGCGATCCTAGAATTAATATTACCAAAGTAAGTTTTCAAACAAGTTCTTTCACAGAAATACAACTTCATGTAATCTTTAGCAACTATAAAACGTTAGAAATGTTTGAAGAGAGGATGTAACTCAATGAAAAACTCACGAAATCCAACACGCTCAACCAAGGAAAAAGGGTATGATGAACTGAGCAAGCATTTACCTACAATATTCTTGATTAAACAACCATGTTAATAAGACACTACTAGTACTAGAATCTCTCCCTGCCCTACCCTGCTAGCCAAGTTTATATTACATGGTTCAAAGAATTTTTGCCTCTTATCCACATTGCAAGGAAACTTCTTGCATGTTTTCAAGTGCTTCTTCATTGCGGAAATACCATTAGCAACATGGTACTTAAACTCAGACCTACAATGAATGCACTTGACCTTATATGTTTTTCCATCCATATCTTTTATTCTCTCATGATGATTCCAACAATCGGATATATATTTCTAATCACGAGGAGGAAGAGGGGAACCAAGTACCTTGTTTGTCGCACTCATGGTAGGGGATGGCTCTTCTTCATTTTTATCGCCCCACAATTCCAATTCTGTGATTGGAGTCATCTTCTCACATCCCTCAACCTCCACTGACATGTTATCTTGAATTCTTGATAGTTGATACGTCAATCAAACAACATTGGCCAAGCAAACAACACGAGAACATATTAGCCGAGAGCACTTGAACAGTCAATCAAACAAAACGAGAGCAAAACAGGACATCATATATATTTCCTAATTTTCATCCCCAGCCTACCCATCATTCTATCAATTATCTTCTGCAACAGTGAGAAAGATGGGCAAATGCATAAGCATCCAAAGCCAATATGCAAACAAAACCAATTTATGGCTATATATCAAGCACAAAACATAACCCACCCAGGTCCACCAACTACGCACCGTGTAGCATACACGTATCGAGCTAAGCTAAACCAAAGCAAGCTCTCTGTTCAAACTGTGGCATCTACATTTAGTCTCCGAGTTAGACAATTTTCCCGAAGGGAATTTATAATGTGGTCGACAGTAGCCCAATGTGGTTCACCACCACCACCACTGTCACACAGGCGAAAGCAAGCCGCCGTTCTCTACCTCTAAGCAAAAGAAGAAGAAGAAGAAAAACCCAAGCTCCTTACGAGACCCAAAAAATCTTCTATACATAGCTTTTGAATTTCTAGTCCTTTTCTGATTGTAAAAGGTGCTAGCTCAAAAACAGCTGGTTAATAATTGCGTGAAGAGAGAGAGAGAGAGAGAGAGAGAGAGAGAGAGAGAGAGAGAGAGAGAGAGAGATGCATCTCAGTCCAAATGAACGAGGTTTGCTCAGCGTGATCGACTGATTGATTTGAAGTCTCGGAATGAGTTGAATTGAAGACTCGATGGGGAAGATGTGGCCTTTGTCGCTGACCTTCTTCTCGTTCACTCACTGCGCAAAGCCCAAAGAAGGAGGCGGCGGTTTGTCCATTAATAGCAAGCGCCCGTGAGTGCTTCACCAAGAGTAGCCCTAGCTTATAGTTTCTTGCTGAGCCTTGGTCGGCAGTGGTGAGTCTGTCGGTGACAGCAAACGAAACGAGATGCATCGTGGAGAGGATCGACAATGACAGAGATGAGAAGTGAGAGCTGCGTCGCGGAGTGGAAAGAAAAGGAAATGTTTGAAGACTTTGGACGGGGAAGAGAAGACCGGAAGAGAAGACCGGAAGAATAAATTAGGGTTTCTAATTTCTATTTCAGCCTTTTAGGGACCCCGGGAATCGGAACCAGCAGTTCCTAAAAATGGAGAACCGGGAACTGGACCTTCTCTCCGTAGAACTTGGGACCAAACCTGACCCATCGATTCAGTTCTTCAGTTCTCGATTCTACCTTGGAACTACACTTACCCCTAGTTGGCGGTATGCAACTAGATTCTGTTTTCTTTACACCACTGTCGTATGGAGACAACCAAAACAGGTGGAATAAACATATATCTAACTTTTGGAAGAGTAAATCTTCGTAGTTCAACGAGGCGTCAGAGCCCCCGCGATCACCATTGAAACTAGAGACAGATGACCTATACACGGACAAAGTATAGAGATATATAATTAAACTCTTAGATCTAAATTGAGAGATAATAGCTTATAGATCTATAATTATATTAGGAGAGTTCAAACTCTTAGATCTAAAACTAGATTGGGAGAAAAGAGTTCACACATCTAGATTGGGAGAGGAAAAAATAAGGATAGAATAAGAAAACTCAAACAAAATCAACAAGAGGGAGAGAAGGGTGATACTAGCTGAAACCCTCCCTCATGGCTGAAGGTTAAAGAAGACGAAGGAGAAGAAAGAAAGAGGGAGAATTGGCATGAACTTTAAAGCAAAAAAAGAGTGTCAATTTTCATATTTGGATCAAATCTGGCCTAACCACATTTGACACGAATTATTTCGTAAAAAATCACCTAGATTTGCAATTCTATCCGGTCCCTTGCTTGTTTGTGAAAATTTCAAGATTTTTCTTTTCTACAATTATAGAATGGCCCAAATGAAATAGAAATTAACCAGTTTTTTTTTTCTATTTGAGACTTAATTATATATGAAAAAGGTTACCAATCTAGATTTGAAGAAAGCAATAATATCTGGATTTCTTGGAATAGAAAGAGGTAAATAAGTATTTACATGCATATACTTACCTTCTTATTACATCACATATCCCTCAAAGCAATGAAATACTTTATTCAAGCAATTAAGTAAGAAGAAGTATGTGATCAGACTCAAAAGTAAATCTATTCAAGTTTAGAAAATAAAATCTACTCGGTTCGGAATGTAAATCTACTCAAGTTTAGAAAGTAAATATATTCCGGTTCAAAAAGTAAAATTTGCTCAGGTTTAGAAGAAAATATATTCGGTTTCAGAGAGTAAAATCTATTCGGGTTCAGAAATAAATGTGTTCAGATTGAGAGAGAAAAATCTACTCAAGTTCAAAAATAAATATATTCAGATTTATAGAGTAAAATCTACTCAGTTCAAAAACAAATATGTCTAGATTCAAAGGATATATTTTATGAACGACAATTAAGTCTGAATTTACAAATATGACTTTTCCAAGTTCATATTCATCATTTCGACTTACCAAATATACCCCACTTTAAGAAAAATGATCAATTACCTTTTAAAAATGTATGAGACTAGAAAGATGAATTCAACAATCACCTCAAGAATGATATTTCAAAGTTCAAATTTAACAATTTCCCTTGCCAATTATACCACACTTTAAGAAAACAATTCACACACATTTTGAACATGTGTGAGACTGGCAAAACAACTCCAACAATCACCATATCTACAATATTATAGTACATCGAAATGGTATATCACAACCAGTAAAGTTAAAAGTGTTAAGGAGATTGAACTAACTTAACATCTAGAGTCTTCACTTACCTCACGCAAAATCTAAACAACCCAAAGTTAAAGCCCACTTGTAGATCTTGGATTGGGTAGTGGTGAAAGTAGAGTATATTTGAAAGTTGAAGGTGAAGAAGAGAGTTATAGTCAAGATGAAAAATTCGCTCCAATGTTACCAAGATGAAAGTGATGTGTAGGAGTAGATTTCAGGTAGAAGAATGCATGCACTCATAGGTGGCAAATCTTCACTCAATCTGCAGCCATGTGCAAGAAGTTAAGATATATTAGAGATGGCTAATAACCAAAGGTGATGATAGCTTATGGTTATGTGTCATATTAGTGCGAGAGGCTAAGCTTAAGAGTGGCATGTGGCCATGCATTAAACCTCCAATAGCCACGTGAGCTCTTGGTGTCTTTAAGAGGAGTTTTTGTGAATAATTATATTGAAAACATAAATTCCTCTCCCCTTTAACACCAATTAGCAAATAATTAATTATTATCAGTAATTAACTAAAGTTTCAACTAATAGTATCACGCATCAACTACTAAGACAACAATTAATTAATTAGCATTGCTATTAATGTATACGTTGACGTTTATAAATTTTTAAATTTTTAATACGTTGAACTCAGAGCAATTTTGTTCACGAAAATCATTCTTCACGCCTCACAAAATTTACGATCCAAACTAAGATTTCTACCTGTCCATCGAATTTTAAACAAAATAATACTTAGCTTTATGATCTAAGTATCATTACCGGATACGTAAATTTCCGAATGTCATATAAATACAATTACAAAAACTCCGGATGTCACACCTAGCTAGAAGCCCACCCACTTACATGCATGGAAAGTGAGTTTTGCTACTAGGTATGTTCCGAGCATTGAAATATTAGAGCCGGCCGCCCACTTTGATCCTTTCTTGAACACGTCTACAAAAATCATGAGTAATTAATGGTTTTGTAATAATCTAAACACATAAAGTCAACAATCTCCCCTTTGTTATGATGCTAAAACTATACAAAGTTATCACGAATAACAACATACATTATCACAAAAACTTTAAAATTCGAAGAACTCAAAAACTCTGCCTTAATACATGCATATTAAGCATATACGAATATTTAGCAGTCTCCCTCCTATTGTCATTAATCAAAAAGGTAATTAAAATAGATTTTTATAGATTATTTCAAAAACTCCCACCCTTTAAAAACTTATCACATAATGAAACTCCCCCTCAAATTAACAATAAATGCTACCTTGTGTCCAAGGCAACCTTGGATTCATGCAAAACTTCTTTAAAAATTCAAATCTTCTTAACCTTTAAAAAGGCATTTCTTTTAAAATAATAATTTCTTGCAATATATCTAAATTTACCACAACATCGGCATACATCAGATGCAATCTTCTAGATTGGAAATGTCTATGACCACAATCATTTCTACGAGTAAAATCATGTCTACCAAACATAACTTGTTTTCCCTTCTTACTTCCTTCCGCTTTTTATAAGGAAGTCTTCATTTTTCTTCTTCAAAATCTCATATTCATTTTTCAAATTTTTAAGTCCAATTTTGAAAGACTCGTGTCTTTTCTCCAAATCAACATGTTTTTCTTTCAAGAATTCGTTTTTAATTTTCAATGCCTTGCTTTCATTTGTCAAAGTATCAATCACCTTTTTCAAGCAATAGATTTCTTCATCTTATTAGGATGTTCTTCTCTCTTTGGCTCCACTTTTTTCTCGAGTGTAAGAAGGATTCCAAGAAGCTAATCAAGCGTCATTTGGGAGAGAACATGAGCATCATCAATTGCCTCTACTTTTAGTTCCTTTTGCATGTAACTTGTAATATTTGCCAAATTTCTTTTGCACTTTCATAAGTGGAAGTACGATTTAACTTGTTTGCATCAGGAGCACAAAAGCACTCAGCTTCATAGCTTTAGCATTTAATTACGACCTTTTTCAAATCATTTTAAATCAAATGTCTTCACTTTTATTGCAAATGAGGACCATTTTGAATAACTGTCCATACTTATAATATTGAGATAGAATGAAAACCCTCGTTCGAGTTTTCTTATATTTGTAATTACAAAATAATGGAGGCTTAACAGTTGATTGCCCTTCACTAATACAAGAAGAAGTAGATGTTGCCATGATGTTTAACTCAAGCAGATATGGGCACCCGCTTTGATACCAATTGTTGGCACAAAAATACGATCAAAACTATTTGAAATCAAGATTCAAGAAACCAAGAAATATAACAAAAATAACTAAAGCAAGCAAATATAATCTATGCACAAATATAAAGAGAGTAGGGATAGAGAAAGCTT